GCGGAGGAGTAAAGATGCTATGATAATGAAGAGAGGAAGGGGCTGGGCGGCAGGTGGCTCAAGCTGTAATCCAGGCACTTTGGAGGGGCCAAGCCGTGGATTCACCTGGAGGTCGAGTTCGAGACCAAAAACAAAAAATAAAGCCGGGCGTGGTGGTGCATGCTGTAATCCAGTAGCTGAGAGGTTGAGGCAAAGAGGAATTGACTTGCAATCCAGGCAGGGAGAGTTGCAGTGAACTGAATCGCCATTGCACTCAGCCGTGGGCAACAGAGCAAAAACTCCATATGAAAAAAAAAAAAAGAGAGAGAAGACGGGAAACGGTGGGGAGATTGCAAAAGTGTGGTGTAAGGAGGCTGCCTTGAGCAGGAGTAATGAAGCCATCCCTGCAGTGTTACCAGGCCCGGAGGGACGCTTGGGGGCAAAGGCCGAGAGGCAGGAAATAGGTTTGGCCATGGCAAAATGAACAGTGGCGTCCGCATCCTAGGCAAACTATTTATTTAATAAAAGAAGAATGAAATGCTTGAGTCTAGGGTTGTGCTGGGCGCTTTCTTAAGTTTCATTTCCCGGGTACCTCCCCAGTCTGGCCTGCAACGGTTATATAACCGATTACACAGTGTGAAACTGGCCACAGAGACAGTAAAGTAGCTTGGGCCCAGACCATCAGGAGTGAGGGTGGGGAGAACCCTCTCCCCATTGAGTTCTGGCTTTCGCTTTTTTTTTTTTTTTTTTTTTGAGACGGAGTCTCGCTCTCTACGCCAGGCTGGGAGTGCAGTGGCCGGGATCTCGCTCACCTGGCAAGCTCCGCCTCCCGGTTCGGCCATTCCTCCTGCCTCGCTCCCGAGTTAGGCTGGGACTACAGGCGCCGCCGACCTCGCCGGCTAGTTTTGTATTTTTGAGTTAAGAACGGTTCCACCGTTGTTAAGCGATATTACAGGCCTGAGCCACTGCGCCCAGCCCCTTCTCTCTCATTTTCATAGCATGCTTACCTCTCTACCTGCAGTTCTATTTTTTCTTTTCTTTTCTTTTCTTTTCTTTCCTTTTGACAGAATCTTGCTGTCACCCAGGCAGGAATGCAGTGGCGCAATCCTAGCTTACTGCAGCCTTGAACTCCTGGCCTCAAGCAATTCTCCTGCCTTGGCCTCCCAAGGTGCTAGGATTACAGGCATGCACCACCATGATTGGCCTTGAAATTCTTATTCAACGTTTTCTGTGTCTTCTCCCCTCCTCCGAAAGTGAAAATCTTTTCGGTCTTGTTTCACTGCTTAAACCCAGTGGCTGACATATCTGTTGCTTAATAAATATTTGTTGAGTGGGAGAATCAACAAGCAATAAGTAATAGGGGGATTTTTCAGTGAGCAAAATAAACATGACCCATTTCCTTATGGAGTTCACAACTGAGCCAGGGAGAGAGCCCTTAAAATAACTGAGTGTGTGATGAGTTGAGGGGAGTGGGAGGTGCATAGGGAGGAGTCTGCTGAGGACATGAGTTTTTTTGTTTGTTTGTTTGCTTGCTTTCTGACAGATCTTGCTCTGTCGCCTAGGCTGGAGTGCAGTGGCACGATCTTGGCTCACTGCAACCTCCGCCTCCCGCGTTCAAACAATTCTCCTGCCTCAGCCTCCCGAGTAGCTGGGACTACAGGTGCACGCCACCATGCCCGGCTAATTTTTGTATATTTAGTAGAGACGGGGTTTCACCATATTGGATAGGCTGGTCTCAAAACTCCTGACCTCAAGAGATCCGCCTGTCTCAGCCTCCCCAAGTGCTGGGATTACAGGTGCGGTGAGCCACTGAGGACGTGGTTTGAGCTTAAGTCTGAAAATGAAGAGGAGCCAGCCTAGGGACCAGGGATGTGTTTCAGGTAGAGGGGAAGGCATGAGCAAAGGCTCAGAGGAGGGTGGACAAGGCATTCTTGCAATGAACCAGGCACTCACTGTAACTGTAGAAAAGAAACAGGAGAAAGTGAAACCATGGGTAATGCGCTGCAGTGGGCTCTTCAACAACATGAGTTTGAACCGTCACGTCTTTTTTTTTTTTTTTTTTTTTTTTTTTTTTTTGTTTTTTTGAGCAGAGTCTTGCTCTGTCATCCCCAGCTGGAGTGCAGTGGAGCAATTCAAGCTGCAACCTCCATGTCCAGGGTTTCAAGCGGATTCTCCTGCCTCAGCTTCCCACAGTATCTGGGACTACAGGCACCACGCCACCACACCCAGTTATTTTTGTATTTTTATACAGATGTGGTTTCACCATGTTGGCCAGGCTGGTCTCGAACTCCTGGACTTCAGGTGATCTGATCAGCCTCCCAAAGTGAGGGTCATCTTTTTAAACAGAATGTTTTCAATAAATATATTGGAAACCATTTTTAGAGATTGCAACAGTTTGAAAAAGATTTCCAGATGAACTTGGTAGCCAAGAAATATTTTAAAAAAATTAAGTTAGGTATGTCATGAATGCATAAAATATATATGTAGATACTAGTCTGTTTTGTTATTTTTGTTATTATTTTCTTTTCTTTTGCTCTGTGCCCAGGCTGGAGAGCAGTGGCCCAATCATGGCTCACTGTAACCTCCCAACTCCTGGGTTCAAGCGATCCTCCTAGTAAGCACCAACACGCCCGGGCTAATTTTTTTACTTTTATTAGAGACGAGGTCTCACCATGTTGCCCAGGGCTGGTCTCAAATTCCTAAACTCAAGTGATCCTCCTGCCTCTACCTCAAAAAGCGCGGAGATTACAGGCATAAGCCACCATGTCCAGCCCTATTTTACACTTGGCCTATCAGCCATAAAATATACACAAGACCTGTTACAAAAAGTTAAAATGTATTAAAAACGTACACACACACTTACAAACCATGCATGTGTTATCCAAGTCCAAGAGAAAGGTTAAAGATGCAGCATAATTCATAGCTGCGTAAAATTAACTGTAGCATATATTGTGTTATTGTAATAATTTCATAGCCACCTCCTGTTGCTACTAGAGTGAGTGCAAGTGTTGAAACTATCTGCTTAAAATGTCAAGTTACATTAATTATCTCCCCGCGGGCAGTTCGCCTCTCCAGGAAATTGTGCCCCAGTAAAAAGGGATCTCTTGGCGGTTCCCGCGTATT